AACCCATGGAACGCAGCCCGTCTCCAAAGATTCTACGCCTAAACACCGGACTCAGAGTTCGTCTCACTCCCCCGTCCACCTTTTTATATTTTTTACTGTCTCTTTTCCCCCTCCTTCTTCCCACTTTTTTTTCAATACCTTTTATAGGCTGATTTGCGCTTTGTTCGCACACACTTGATGTGCTCCTAGCACTCATTATACCTGGGGGCTTATTTACCAGAAGCTTATTCATATGGGCTTCACGCCCAATACATGTGTCATACTTCCGCATGTACCTTTTATTCACCATTATATGCATCGATATGACTTAAGTTTTGGCCAAGCTGGGTTGCCTGGCTCCTGTGCTTACCCCTACGTTCCCGATTGTTCGGCTAGGAGGTAAAGGGAGCACCTCTGCGATTGTTACTGCCGGGTCAGCCGGATGTGTACCTCAGACTGGGTGAAGCCGAAAGCTAGCGTTCTTAAGAGAATATTCAGTCGGTGACCTAAAAGATGATTTATTACTTACTTATTTATCTGCCCCCAGATGCTTTTTCTGCTATTTTCGCAGTCCGGCATTGCACCTTAGGGCATGCCTCCCAGGGAAAGGAACCCTTAACGGAACTATTCTCCCTGGAAGATGTTTCTTACTAACCATGTAATATAACATAACTAGTTGGACACTTGTCTGATAAAGCAATTATGATCCCGACGCCTTGTCTCCATGCATGCCCCGGTTCTTTTATAACCGTGAGGGTATTCGGACACACTCCGGACTGTTGGGTCCCGAGGTTGAAGCAAAACGGTCCGCAAAGACAAACGATCTACAATCCGGCTAGAAGGCATCTTACATGTCATTTCAAATTACATCATCAAACCGACTGATTGTACTCCTCCTCAATCCTATCTAACAGGCTGTCTAATTTACAGTCCTGTTGGGAATATTTCGCGGCCAGTTCTACTTGGCCGTACATCAAGCTCACAGGGATCTCCTTCCCATCAGGCCCCGCAGGTACGACCTCGGCCATGTGGTTTGGGTCAGCCTTTGGGTATCGCGTCTTCACCATGGCCCAGGCCTCCCTGGCGCCCTAACGGCAGGCAGATATCTTCCACAAACGGAGGCGTCGCCGTGCTCCCTGAAGCTTCTCAGCAAGCTCACCAAGGCCCTCGGGTAGGGAGACGGATGGCCATAAAGCCTGAACGACGCCACTCATCGCCTGCCGAACACGTTCGAACAATTGCACCAGCTCGGGAAGTTGGTCACCCGTTGACCCAGGCATTTCCTCCGCAGGGCGACCTGTGAGCACATCTAAAGACATATTTCTGTCAATCGACTTCCTCACCGAATTCTTCTTTTCAAAGGAATTTGCTCAAGCACTTACTATAAATGCCGCGACGAAGCCGCTGATTCTCCTTCACGGAGCCAGACAGCTGGGCCCGAACACCCTTCAGCTCTTCTCCTAGTTGGGTGTGGGCATCTTGGAGCTTGTTTCTCTCCTGCTGCACCTTCATAAGCACCCTCTCACTGGCCTTTAGCTGACGCAGTAGCTGTTGCTTGTCCGGATCTAGTCCGGCGCCCTCTGCAATATTATTGTCAGATTCACGCCACACTTTTTTAATTAATTATTTTTTCAAAGTACGTCTTACCAGCGGGGGTCTCTGTGGCTCCCCCTATGCCGGCCAGTGCGGCCTCAAGTTGGGCCTTGCACTCTTGGAGCTCCTGGGATAGATGGGTATTCTTCTCCGTAAGATCCTGCATAAAAATTGATCCTTAAATCAGTTATTTTAACTATTTTAAGTCTCGGGGGCTACTGGTATATATAAGTATTAAAATTACTTACACGTATGTCTTTCACATACTGCTCCGTGGCTCTGGTTAACCCATTTTGAGCGGCACGGAGATGCGCATTTCCCGCATTAAAGGCATTTAACGCCTCCGGGGAGAAACACGCGTCACGAAGAACTGTCCGGCGACGCCTGTGATTCATGGCGCTCTCCACCTCAGACCGGGTGACGAACAGCCTGTCGGTATCCTCCGTCGGAGGAGCATCCGACTCATGCCTTGTATTCGCCTCCCCTCCCGGGCCATGCGTTGGAGCATGGCTGGCGGAGGCTTGATTGGCAACCTCTCCGGACACTGTCCGGCGAGCGCTCTTTCTGGAAAAGTTATGAGCATTAATATACCTCCTGGGAATCCTTCCCTTAAAAATAGCGGTGCTCCGTACCGTTGCGGCGACGTTTCAGTTCGCGTCGCACTCCTCTTCCGCCTGCTGGGCCGGACTGACCCTTGTTGGCCGGCCACCGCGGGTTCGGCTTCCCGCCGTAAAGGCACCTCCTGCGATGCACCATCAGTATGGGATGGTCAGAATTGAGCACGGATTAGATAATGGTGTCAAGACCTCGGTCGTAGTCACCTGGGAGGCCGGAAACAAACCGGGGTAGTCAGCCGTAATGGCGACTAAAGCATTGTCTATGCTGAGCTGGTGGAACACCCCGTCGATCAGTTCCACTGCTAAGTCCGGATCCTCCTCGGAGGCCGGATCAAGGGACCTTTCTGGATCCTCGGGTTGTGGAGCTGGGCTTTTTATGCCCTCCACATCCCGACGCAGTTCCTGTGTCAAAATCATACAATAAGACAATTGCCTTTAAAGGCACGGATCAGATATACATGCGACCGCTTACCCAGCTCCGAGGGTTGTTCATGGAAAACCCGTTCAGAGGATTCATGCGGAGGAAGTCCTCCTTCTCCCCCTTGTACAAGCCGGACAGGATCTTCACCAGGTCGGCGGCCGAGCCAGGTCCCTTGCGGCCGTGACGGGTGGCGTCATCGTCTCCATTGAAATCCCACATGGGGTAGCCCCTATATTGGAGCGGCTGCACCTCACGCATAATGCATGCGGCCATGACTCCGATCATGGTTAATCCGGAATGGGCTAGCAACCGTATCCGGCCCATCAAGTAATGGACGCTCCTATCGTCTTCTCGTTGAGGGCTCCGTGGGTGCCAAATCAGGCGTTTCTTCAGTGGAGCATTGCTAAACTCCGGAAGGCCGATTCGGACTGGATCCGGCAGCGGAGCGTCCTCCATATAAAAACACTCCGAAGGCAGTCTTCGGACGCCTTCTTCGGGGTCTCGGACAGGTATCCGGTCCCGGCGATGCGCCATATTTCGGCTCCGCCCACTTGATATATCGACCCCTCGTGAGAGCGGGGTACGAGGCAAAACAGCCTCTTCCACAGCGCAAAATGGGGCTCAATGCCCAAGAACAGCTCACACAGAGCTACGAAGCCCGCGATGTGCAAAATGGAGGCAGGTGTAAGATGATGAAGCTGGAGTCCGCAGAACTCCAGGAGCCCCCGGAGAAACGGATGTATAGGAAATCCGAGTCCCCTTATTAAGTAGGGGACGAAGCACACCCGCTCTCCTTTGGAGGGATTGGGGGCGCTCTCCGCCTGCTTCCCACCCTTGTAGGTGGCCAGTTCGGCTCGAACCGAACCATGAAGGTCGGGGGAAGATATCCCTCTGCTTGGAGCGTCACTAACTCGCTGTGCGGGACTGAGCATCTCCTCCAATCTCCTGGCTTAGGGCTGGGAGCGCGAGAAGAGGAGCCGCGTCGACTGTCCATGATGGAATGGGTTTGGTGTCAGATGCGCCTCGATGAGTACTTGCGGAAGGAGGATGGTGTGATTTGGATCTGGATCCTCGCCTCTCTTATAGGCAGCTTATTTACGCAGCTAGGGGGTAAAACATAAAAATACCCTGGCTTTTCGCATTCGTACGACGCGTGGAAGAAGTCCATTATTGGACGCGGAAGCCAAGGAGCGCAGCATTTATGAAGCAACCGGACACTATCCGGCAAACACATGGAGCATGGAGAAGAACCCGCCTTGCAAACGCCGAAGACAACATACGCGCCAGATTCGTCGTTATTGAAGCCTGGTTCGGGGGCTACTGAGGGAGTCCCGGACTAGGGGGTGTCCGGATAGCCGACCTATCATCATCGACCGGACTCCAAGACTATGAAGATGCAAGATTGAAGACTTCGCCCCGTGTCCGGATGGGACTTTCCTTGGCGTGGAAGGCAAGCTTGGCGATACGGATATGTAGATCTCCTACCTTTGTAACCGACTCTGTGTAACCCTAGCCCTCTCCGGTGTCTATATAAACTGGATGGCTGTAGTCCATAGGACCAACAACAATCATACCATAGGCTAGCTTCTAGGGTTTAGCCTCCTTGATCTCGTGGTAGATCTACTCTTGTAACCCACATCATCAATATTAATCAAGCAGGACGTAGGGTTTTACCTCCATCAAGAGGGCCCGAACCTGGGTAAAAACATCGTGTCCGTTGTCTCCTGTTACCATCCGCCTAGACGCACAGTTTGGGACCCCCTACCCGAGATTCGCCGGTTTTGACACCGACAGTTACCAAGACAAGTGATCTGAATTCTCTTTCCCTCGTGTCGAAGCAGCTCTGCACCGTCGAGGCGGAGCACAGGGATGCTATCCGCGTTGGCTGTGGACTCAACCCTTCTACAGAAGCCTTGGTGTCGCTGTTCTCCCGGTTCCTCAATTTGGCGAAAGTAGAGATCAACTATTCTGGATGGAAGCCCAGCAACGGGGACCAGTTGAACAACCAAGGCCTCCGTGTTCTATCTTCTCACTGCCCCTTGCTGTCCGAACTTGCTTTAAGCTTCTGCTCATACATTGGTGACTCTGGTCTTGGTTATCTAGCTGATTGCAAAAAATTGAGGTCGCTCAGGCTGGACCATGCATCAACAGTCACTTCTACTGGGATTTTCCGGGTGGCGGTTGGTTGCAGGTATCTTTCGGTTCTCCACCTTGTTGACTGTACGGCAGTAGACACCAGGGAGTGGCTGGAGTACCTTGGGAGGTATGGATCACTGGGGGAACTTGTTGTAAAGGATTGTGATGGAATCAGCCAGTATGACCTCTTAAAGTTTGGCCTAGGGTGGGCGAGTCTCCAAAAGTTTGAGTTTGAGATTAATGGAAATTACTGGATGCCAGGGGCCTCTGACCCCTCCTACGTGTCCGCCTACCCATATAGTTATGACATCTGCTGTGATGGCTTGAAGGGTCTTAGGTTGGCTCATATTATAACCGAGCCAGAAACTGGACTCCGTTTTCTCCTAGGGAAGTGCAAAGCATTGGAGACGCTTTACCTCGAGTACGTGATTGGTCTAAAAGAGAACGAGATGATTGCGCTATTCCAGAGGTGCAACAACCTCAAAACGATCTCACTTAAGCTTATGCCTCTGAGATGTGAAGATTATGAGTTTAGGACGGCATTGACTGATGTTAGCCTTAAGGCTCTAGCTCTCAGCTGCCCTATGCTTCAGGTTGTAGAGCTCACATTCACATTTTGCGAACCCATGTATCCAACGGAAATAGGTTTCACACAGGAGGGTATTGTGGCGCTCGTCCAATCTTGTCCAATTCACTCTCTTTTGCTAAATGGTGCCAGCATTTTGTATGATGAGGGGTTGAAGTGCCTCTCATCCTCACAGTTCCTGGAGAAGCTTGAGCTTGTGGATTGCAGGTCTATAACCGATGTTGGTATGAGTTTCATTATACTGGCTCCTTGCTTGAGCAATCTCACCCTCCGCAAATGCAAGAAAGTGACAGATAATGGAATGGCTGAGCTGGCACGTTCACAGAAGTTGGAGTCACTGACCATTATAGGCTGCTGTCAGATCTCCCAGGAGGGTGTGCAAGGGGCTGCCAAATCAGTTCGCTACTCTGCAGAGACTGAAAGCCACGGCAGTCTAAAAGGAATGAACATGGACAGGGACATGAACAGGAAAAGACGCCGGTCGCCCTGATTCCAATCTTTGGCTATTAATTTGTGTTGGCTATATATCAGCAGAAGCTTGACAACGCAAAACTATGAAAGTAAATTCGGAGGACAGGTCCACCTTCCATTTCCTTGCAATGAGTTTTAATTGGCTTTGGATGTTCTAGACTTGTTTTGGTAATGCGAGCTCTGTTTTAGGAATTTGCCAGAATTCTTGCTCGTATGTTATGACAGACAGTAGCTTCGATTTGTAATCTCTTTGCATTGCTCATATCTGTAAGGTCTACTTCCTTTGATTGAGATCTCCAAATATTGCACCCTATTATTCTTATAGCTTGAGTGTTTGGATTTCAAAAGAATATCGATCAGGTTCTTTTGCCTGCTTGTGCAACATTTAAGGTTTGGGCGTCATTGAGCGCACTAAACCTGGAGATTCGATCTGCTAACCGTTTCTTTACAGCAGTTTCTGTGCTAGATAGGATTTTTTCATAACTTATCGACACAACACATGTGCATGATATGAAACAACGCAAAGAGGTTACCAACAAGGAAGAAATGCTTTCTTACACTGAACATACATGTACATGGTGATATTTTTGTGCAAAACGGCAGAGAAAACATTTATGGTATTGCATCGCAGCCTATCACTTGTGGAGTGTAAAAAAGGCGCCATCAAGCGAACACATTGAGAACTACTCCCTCCGTTCCAAATTAGTTGACTTGGATTTATCTAGATACGGATGTATCTAACACTAAAGCATGTCTAGATATATCCGTATCTAGACAAATCTGAGTCAACTAATTTGGAACGGAGGGAGTAAATAACAAGTGAAGCAAACACATGCCTAAACAAAGGCTCCATTGAAGAAAGCCACCATCAGGCAAAGACATCCAGGATTTGAGAATTTCACAATGGTCTCGAAGTCTGAGCAGCTCAAGAGAAACTATGTGGAGTTCAGATTTTGAGTAATGATACCAGGTTCTTTCGGCGGCTTGTGCAACCCTTCAGGTTATGCATCACCGTTCAGGTCACCAGTTCTTGTTTTTTCTTGGATTTAATCATCTTTGTAATCTTGTCTGCTTCTGTAATCAGGGGCTGGTATCTCGCAAAAAACTAAATAAATCAGGGGCTGGTGTCTCCCTTGCTGTGTTTTGGATTTAATGGAATGCAGAGTTTTAAGTTTGCCTCCCAACAAAGTTCATCAGGTGTCACTGAGCACACTGAAACTGGAGAAGAAATCTGCACAAATCAAACAAGTGTTGTGGACAGAGCTGCAAGTTCCTTATTATTAGAACTGATCGAAACAAGCAGAGCGGAGCTGCAAATAGAGAACCAAGGCGTTTTCTTGTTTTCCTTTTTCCTTTTTTGGGCACACTGTGAACCTACGTTACATGAAAGAAGGCGAATTCTGTGGAAAATGTCAAAAAAACAGATACAGATGGGCTCGCATTTCAGCCTCTCACGTAGTGCACAAAGTTGAACTTTACTCTCCTTTTTTTAGGAAACTTTACTCTATTTTAAACAAAATTCAAACGGACATGCATTTTTTGTGCACAACGAGTCTAATTATTCAGTGTTACACCGCCATCCTGCGGTCTATTTTAAACAAATTATATCCCTCTTCTTTTGCGAGTAAGATAATTCTATCCCTGTAAAAGACTAACCTTGGACTCCCCGTTGACTTCCTCTTTTTCTTCTTCCTCGATGACCTCTGTTTTTTCTCTAGGTGATTCTCACCCTGTACATTGAAATGGTGTTGGGATGAATTTTTCCGCCATACAGTTACAGTAAAAAAACGATGTCACATAATTTAAATTCTTTTAGGATTTCGAAAAATGTTCATGACTACAATAAATGTTTGTGGATTCAAATGATGTTCACTAATTCAAAAAGTGTTCATGGATTTGAAAATATTTGCGATTTTTGAAAATTGTCCGTGAATTCAAAAAATGACAGTGAATAAAAAATTCATGAATTTGAAAATCTTCGCGATTCTAACTTTTTTTTAAAAATAATCACAAATTTAAAATGTTCAGGAACTTAAAAAATATTCATGAATTTAAAAAATGTTCATGAACTCAAAAATTGGTTGTCGTTTTGGAAAATGTTAATGTATTTGAATAATGTTTGTGATTTTCAAAAATGTTCACGAATTAGAGGATGGAGCGGTGTCCACACTAGAGGATGGAGTCACGCCCGCACTAGAGGATGGAGTCACACCCGCACTAGAGGATGTCGCAGCCGCTCGAGCAAGGGAGCCTGAAACAACACCAACGACAGGAGAGATGGAGTAGGCACGGGAGAGGGGCGGAGCAAGCGTGCTGCACGGGTGCCGGTTATGGGAAACGTTCATGTCGTTTTCGGTTAGAGCGAACTGTTCTTTGGATCCTTAGTATCGGTGACTTCCTGTCTACGGAATAGGCTCGCTCTAAATTCAAGGTTGAGGAGGAGCAGCGGCAGTGGCGCGCCACCGGCTTGTCTTGGACGCCTCATGCCCGCGTCGTTGGGATCTAGAGGGACTTTTTTGTAATTTTTGTTGTTTCCGGGTCTCCTTGTAAGGATGAGTCTTAATATAAACTAGATGCTACCTCACGTGTTGCTGCGGGGATTAATTTTAATAATTTTTGATGAAATTTAAATGAAATTTAAAATATTATAATATATTGTATTTCTCATGCATGTCAAGAGAAATATTATTTTTGTTAGAAAATTATCGTGCTTGCCAACAAATTTAGTTGTCTTCACGTCAACTCAAATTGCCATCGAAAATGTTAGAATTACCATGGTCAAACCCTGAACGTTTGAGATTTTTTAATGAAAAAGAATTAAATTAAAGCAAAACGAAAATATATTTTTTATTATGGAATGAGAAACAAATTGGCTTAGCAGACATTCCGATCACACGCTCCCGAATGAAATATGGGCCGCATCATGAAGTCGGGCCCAAGCCCAAGCCACCTTCGCTGCGGCTGAAGTAGTACTACTAAAATTCCTCATTCGAGCTGCCGAAGCCGACGCTCCACTCACCGTCGCAAGGGTTTCGCCGTCGACCCCGCCGCGGAGGTTTCTCCGCCCAATCCACCGCCGTCCCTGCTCAGTTCTTCCCTCCGGCCGGCCGTGCTAACTGCGCCTCCCTCGCTGCTTCCTCTGAGGTACGGATTTGGGTCCATTCACTTTCCTTCTCGACCAACATTGGCTCTTTCCACTCGAGTTCTTCCACTATGTACTTGAATCTTGATGCACTTAGCCCACTACACATGAGCCTGGAAACTGTGTAGCTCTGCAAGCAAATGGCCTGGTTTAATTTCTAAGCAAAACCTATTCTGGATTGTTATCTTCATCTGATTGCTTGGGCCCATCCAGATCTGTGTTCAGTTCAGCAGGTGGATGTTTGTAGTAGTTCTAATTAGTGTATTTGTAGACTATCCTCTGATCTCTCTCCCCACTGATGCTCAGCTATGGGCTAGCAATTTCAGTTCCATATGTAGGGCGGTATATGTTAATTTGATTTTTCTTATAACCTCTTCTTGTTCCATGATATGGATGCAAACATCAGGCTGCAACTCATTAACACTCTTTGCGAAGATAAGCGCATGAATCTTTCAACTTATTATTAAAAGTTCAATTTTTCACTGATGTTTCCTTTTACATTAGCTCTTACAGCTGTCATTTGGTTATATCTTGCTGTGTTCCATTCTGACAATGAATCTTTACTTCAATGCCTTCCGTGCCTTGAGATTGCCCAGGTTGTGCAGCTGAGACACTCAATGGAGGATCTCCCAGAGCCACTGCTTGCAGACATCGTCAAGAGGATTACCAAGACAAGTGATCTTAATTCTCTTTCCCTCGTGTCGAAGCAGCTCTGCGCCGTTGAGGCGGAGCACAGGGATGCCATCCGCGTTGGCTGTGGACTCAACTCTTCTCCAGAAGCCGTGGTATCGCTGTTCTCCCGGTTCCCCAATTTGGTGAAAGTTGAGATCAATTACTCTGGGTGGAAAACTAGTAACGGGGATCAGTTGAACAACCAAGGCCTCCTTGTTCTATCATCACACTGCCTCTTGCTGTCTGATCTTGCTTTAAGCTTCTGCTCATACATCGGTGACAGTGGTCTTGGATATCTAGCTGAGTGCAAAAATTGAAGGTCCCTTAGGCTGAACTGTGCACCAGCAGTCACTTCTACTGGGATTTTTCGGGTGGCGGTTGGTTGCAGGTATCTTTCGGTTCTCCACCTCGTTGATTGTACGGCAGTAGACATCGGGGAGTGGCTGGAGTACCTTGGGAGGTATGGATCACTGGGGGAACTTGTTGTAAGGATTGCGATGGAATCAGCCAGTATGACCTCTTAAAGTTTGGCCAAGGGTGGGCGAGTCTCCAAAAGTTTGAGCTTAAGATTAATGGAAATTACTGGACGCCAGGGGCCTCTGACCCCTCCTACGTGTCTGGCTACCCATATAGGTATGACATCTGCTGTGATAGCTTGAAGGATCTTAGGTTAGCTCATATTATAACCGAGCCAGAAACTAGACTCTGTTTTCTCCTGGGGAAGTGCAAAGCATTGGAGACGCTTTACCTAGAATATGTGATTGGTGTAAAAGATAATGAGATGATTGCGCTATTCCAGAGGTGCAGCAACCTTAAAACCATCTCACTTCGGTTCATGCCTCTGCGGTGTGAAGGTTATGAGTTTAGGACGCCATTGACTGATGTTAGCCTTAAGGCTCTAGCTCTCAGCTACCCTATGCTTCAGGTTGTAGAGCTCACATTCACATTTTGCGAACCCATGTATCCAACAGAAATAGATTTCACACAAGAGGGTATTGTGTCGCTCGTCCAATCTTGTCCAATTCGCACTCTTTTGCTAAATGGTGCCAGCATTTTGTATGACGAGGGGTTGAAGTGCCTCTCATCCTCACAGTTCCTGGAGAAGCTTGAGCTCGTGGATTGCAGGTCTATAACCGATGCTGGTATGAATTTCATTACACTAGTAGAAAACAGGGCTTTGGTTCTGCCAGAAAAGAGCATTAATC